TCTTGAGCGTAGAGAAAGTTGAAGCCATAGCTAAAGAACAAGAAAAACGACGCTGGGCCTCAAAATGACATTGGATACTCCCCTATACGATGTATCGCTAGGCAGAAGCGAAGAGTCGTCGTTGTTTCTAGGTATTACTGTAATATCAACAACTTGGACTCTTGCCCATCTAAGCGCTAAAGTGAATCTGAAAAGGTACACCAGTAATTCATCGAGGTTTGAGTGAAATATATCGTCGGCTTATCAGCTTATCATCAGCATTGATCTCTTCTTGCACATCGTCTTTACGTAAAAATTTAAACAAAAATAGAAATTAGTAGGCAGGCACTACTTGCGAAAGTGTAAAAGGCCACCGATTATGATGGACGTGATATCGCCGTTCGCGATAATCCGCTTACATTAAGGTTGCTATCGAATAAATCGTGATGGACACCAAGGGAGTTGATCGCCAATGGTCTTATTATTCATATTTCATTATTTCCCTATTATAAAGCAAATTATTGATCGTAGGATCGCTCGTCGATCTTTATATCGATCGAGGAAAACGCTAAGCAAAAAATCTAGATTATTCCATCTGCTATATTGCTGTTTTACAGCATTATATTATTCGGACGAGTTATCTGTTCAAGCAGAAATATGCATTGCTCATTTGGATAGAGAATGTATAAAGACAAACTCGGCGGATTGAGCACGAACAAAAGCTAGCTCGGATGTGAAAAAAATGAATAATTGAACGGGAAAGCCATTGGATGCCGACGATGCAGCGGTCGCTGAAGCCGAAGAGGCAACAGAGGCACCCTTTTTGGTCTAATCCATCGGATTAGCCAGACTTGTGGAAGCCTCCTGGATAACAGCGATTAGTTGTGCATGCAAATCGACCACAACAGCGTGGGACGTTCATGGGATTTTTCGCTGCAAAAAAGGACATTTAGGAAGAAGGCAATAGTAGGCCGGGCAAGCTGCTGGGCGTTGTTCCGGAATGGACGAATTCGCTAAATGACTGAGGGAGGAATCTCATTGGTATTCTTCATCTCATGAACGAGGGGCGAGCCACAGAGGAGAAATTAATGGTCGTTCCGAGGCCCTGTGGTGGTTTATGAGGGTAAGCTGCTGCAAAGGGGGACAGGAGAGAAATGGAGACCAAATGATCGACGAACAGGGGCAGGCATGCGGCGGCGGTCATTAGACATGAAATGAGATTTGAGCACGAAACGTCTGTGTGCTGAGTGTTGAACAGACCAGGCTCTGAGATCTGAGAGCAGGGCAGGAGATTTGCGATTACTGGGCCATCTTCATGATCTGGAATGAGTCATCGTCAGCGGGGTAGGGCTAAATATAATGCCCGGGTTTGCTGATCCCTTCAGAGTGCGCCATGCTTCGACTTTCACTCTTGACCTGTTTACATCTCTCTATCACTTATTTTTTTATGTAGAGGGCGAACTAGAGTCACTTTCACTTTGAACAGACAGATTGAGAGTAATGGAAAAAAGGTAAAATGAGCGCCAACCCGGTCAGATCCAATTACTCCACATCGCATAAAAAAGCAATAAAAAGATCGGAGAACAACGGATTATGCATGGACTCCCTGCAGATTAGTCCAACCAACACCTAGGTTAAAGTTCGAGTTTGAAATTTCTCAGTGCACCTCCAACTCAGGTACTCAGGTCCCATGAATAATTCGGGAGAGGCGTCAAAGCTCGGAATATGCCTAGTGGTTTTCTTTGTTAGTTGACCCAGTAGAATAGAATGCAAAAATAGACAAAAGTGTAGTGATTGAATTCTGGCTGAAATTTGATCGAAAAATCCCCCAAAGGATTTATTTGGCGAATTTTCGGCGTCGTCATTTTACTCAGAGCATTAAATGATCCAAAGCCAGACGAGATTTGCCGTTTAGACACCATAACAATCCCTGAGACAATCTCACTGAACCAGTAAACCAGCGACTAACGACATACTTCGGTAAGGGCACGACACCGGCTTACCTTAAAGTGGTAATTACAAGTTTCTCCTCAATTTCACGACCTAATAAAAATTGTTCATTATCGGAAAGAATCGAAATATAAACTCAGGCGATTTACAATTCTCTCAAACAACGCAATGACTTTGTTGATTGTCTTTAACTTCTTGCAACATAAATCAGAAGTCAGGCGGTAGCAGTTCGTTCTCAAAATCGGGTTGGTATTCCCAGTATAGGAAAATGATATGTAGATTTCTATTTTGGTTTCGATTTTCAGAGTTGTCGAGAGAAGAAAGGTTTACTTCCGAGATTTCGTCAAGGTCCTTAGTCATTTCCGCCCGATCAATAAAAACAAACCACATCCATGGAATAGCCGTGAAGCGAAATTACGCTGTGAGTCACTCAGAATTTGATGGGATTATCGATTGATTGATTGATTGAAATTATTGACATAGCATGTTCTTTAGTCGCGTTCACAATGTACGATCTGAACAAAAGCGGAACCATTACGAAAGATGAATTCAAAGATATCCTACAGGTGAGGATTCTTTAAGTTCCACCTTCAATATCATTTTAAGCCCTATGTGGTGGCGTACACTATCACGGTCAGTGTGTGCCGCTTGTACGGTACGGCGATCGAATCCCAGTTGGATACCAATGAAGGTCGATTGAACTTCCATCCCTCCGGCGTCCGACAATTGGTATCAGACCCGTCTGGGGATAAAACAAGCCACTGGCTAAGCCACATTCGAAAGCCTCTACGATTCTCAATGAAATAGTAGTAGCCCAAAAGGGGAAAGAGGTGAGCTCCAAGAACGCGATTGCTTCAACCCAAGTGGCCAACCCAGGAGGTAAGTAAGCAAAGGATAATGGATGCTCGGTATTAGTCAGTCCTACTGGGATGTCCCCGCCCAATTCAGTAGAATAGTAACGCAGGTCTGGGAGAGCCATGTAGGTATTTACATATTCTCGCCTATGCAGTAACTTGTAGGTGTCAGCAGATGTTGTTTTTTGTTGTTTTCAAAGCTGTCGTCCTGTCGAGTAATTAGAGGGTCAATTAACTAATCCCGTTAGGATGGGGAACCTAGTTTTTTCCAAATGGGTTCCTTGTAAAGACCGGGACATTCCATAGCTTCGTTGCTAAGTTTTCACCATGAAAAAACGCCTTATCGTTTTGGGGCTGGTAAACTTGTTTTTTAATCATCCCCAGCTTGTGGGACTCCCGGACTCTCAACGGACCTCGGGTAACGGCAAGTTTATCTGCTCAGACGATGTAAAAGGACTGCGTAACTCTTAATCAACCGTGTTCCGAGGAATAATTCAATTTATGAGAATCGTCTCGTGCAGAAAATGTTCAAAGTAATTAATTCAAGTAAAAACGCTGGTTGCCAAGGCCCATTTCAAGCTAAAACGAGAATTCAAAAATATCTGTTAGAGAAGTAATGTATGGCGAAGCCAGAGCTCTGTGAAAGGTAATTGAAGTGAGGCGGGCGGCTGAAATTAATGGCGAAAACTAGATGGCTGAATACTTGATGTGAGCACGTAGTCAAAAGGGCTTGGGGATGTTGTGGAGGGGCAGTCAAAGGGGTGTGGGGATAGTATGAAAGGTCGGTCTGGGATGACAAGATCGTATGCGATTACTTTAGAGCAAGGATTTCAGATGGAAGCCGAAATGGCATAGACCAACAAGAATGGGTGTTCGTAGTCGAATGTCGACGGGGGAGTGGGAGTTGGGGCTCGAAGTTTTGGCGAGACGTGGTTCATAATTATGCTAATTACGTTACTGGGTATGATGTTTGGATGTGCGCCGTTGGCTTGGAAACTCGTTTAAAGGCTCTCTCCACAACAGCCAGACTTTCTGGTAAGCGACTTCTGACTTCTGGAAATAGATAGCATTCAGCACTATCGCAGTTGAAAACGGATTGTATTGGTCCAAAGTCCGTCGTAAAGGTTTCCTCTTTAGCCCCGCCCAGGAGTAAATGCGTCATGTATTGTAATAGGGTTATGAATAAACTATTTCAAATGGGGTTAGACCAGATTTACGGTTGTGGGGCCCCGTTGGAAGTGAATAGGTGATTTTATGAGATCCTAACTTCTTGAAGCCCGACTTTCTGCACGTATATCACTTAGAATCAATGGCAAGGACGAAACCTCATTTCGTTCCTTCGCAACCGTTTTTGTTTGTATGCCCTCTAGAGAACGATNTCACTCACCCATTTGCCTGTTGAGCATCAAAGGCCTCATGGAAGGGTAAGTATTTCGCACAAGGAGAATCTCATGATGTGTTGAACGCCAAAAGGATGATAAGCGGAGCCACGGGAACGTTGGAACCGGCCGTTACTTCTCGTCTCTTCAGCAAGAAAGCCAGAGAAGTAAAGGCTCAGAAGCCGTTTCAGAAGTTTGAAGCATCAAAGGGACAAGTTACAGTATCCCAACTAGTTACCACAAAATTGATTTGCGCAATCAAGCCAAGTCTTCGCCAAAGGTGATGTGTGACGATTTACAAGTAAAGAGCACCTGATGAAATTGGCATTCGTCTCATTCATTTTGGAAAAGTTCTATTTTCTCCTTTGTTTTTTCAAGTCCCTAATGACTGATGCTTTCATATGTGTATTAACTCTTTAAAAATTCAGTTGATGGGAATTCGAATAGGCACATATCCCATGAGTCGAGATGACACTCATCTCTGTACATTCATTCAGAATGTATAGAACTTACTTCACCTAGCTCGACTTTCTGATGAGATGGTCGACCATGAGCTCAATTCTATTTGAAAAGTGAAAACTAACCCATTTAAGAAAGGAAAAAACGCGATAATTTCCTTTTTTCGTTCAGTTAGAGGAGACACTGTATGAACAAAACCCGCCTCCATGAAAAGTTACGCCTTTTTAGAAAAGTCTTACTCTATACGACTGCAGTGGTTGTCAGACTAATGAGATCTCATGGAAGTTTGTTTACCAATCAACTTGGCGTGCGTGGAAAAAGCCACCTAGACTTGCTCAATTTATGTCAACAGCCCCGTTAAGCCGATGCTTTCAAAAGCTGCATCAGTGTATGGATTTTTCTGGGGAGTGATGTCTTTTCTGAGACTTTCTGAATCGTGTGTCTATTTACAGCCAGTTTGTGAAGTATTTTCTACATCGTGAATGCGCCATTCATTTGATTTCCACTCAGAATCGTGAAAACTTTCCGGCCTGTTCGTGCTTTGCACAATGACCGCTGGAAACTCTTTCTTTGATTCATGCTCCCTTGGGAACGAGAACTTTGATGCACGAAGTCTGAAGTGCTGCCACTAAAGTTTTATGGCTCCCACTTTTGTTGAGTGATTGCTTACCGGGTAGAAACCCTGGCGTTGGAGAAGCCAATACATAATATTGCTGTGTCGCATTGCAGCCCAGACAAGGGAGAACAGGGCTTCAAAAATCTCCCGAAGCGCTTGTTGACGTCAAAGACGCCAGGAGATCTTTGCAATACAAAGGTCTAATGGCCTCATCCTGACGCGCCACGCATTTTGCTTTGTTTCACAATCGTCAAGGCAATGAAGTGTAAAGTAGTAGGTACGAACGAATGTAGATGCTTAGTAACCCACACCTACAGTTCCCTGCGCAGATATCGTACCGAGGGTTTGACCACGAAAAAAGACGTAGCAAAAGTAGGACTTGCGCTTTGCGATCGGGTGTACTCCGACGGGTGTGGGTACTTCTCCCCGAACATCGCGTCTCGCCCGCCGCACCCGATTGCACGCATTTCTGCGCTATGAAGGAAAAGGTTCTTCAGTGGAAGGATACTGTGGCGGAATCACTTCCATTTGCGGGAATTTGAAGAGGAGTACCGTCAACCTACACTATCGTCTTTGTGGTCAAGCCACGAAGCGCATTACCCCTTTGAAACCCATTTGAGGTTTGCCCTAATCCTAGTTTTGTCGATGATAGAATCGGATGATCCCCTCCACGATTCATTCACTGCTTTGAATATTAGATTTTGTGGGAACGCTGTAATGCAAAATATTATACGGTTATGGTACCTTGGTATCCTTGGTTACCTTGGTTATCCCAAGGTTTTCTTGCGTTGGTCCCATATCTAGTCGATTCCGCTATTGATCTATCACGCGTATAATCGATACTGGCCCTTGTGGAAGCATGTCCATCATCGTTTTAGAAATTATTCAAAACAAATTCAGATGATGATCGGCGCCAATGTTCCGGAAGAACAGGTAAATTCAATTGCCGATCGTACGATGAGGGAAGCCGACAAGGATGGAGATGGTTGTATTACATTTGCAGAATTCTGTCACGTGAGTCATATGAGTATACGGTACGAGAGTCATACGGTACGAACTTGAAGACGCATAGATTTCTGAATTCAATCGTGAAAGAATTCCATTTAAAAGCCATCTTTACCGGTAGAGCATCCAGCTGTTCGGTCCTTATTTGACAAATGTCACTTAGCTCGTTCACGATCTGGTATTTCGAGAACAGTAAACAAGTAAACAACTGCTCAGCTAGAATTAGTTGCCACTTGTTGAGTAGCGCTTGTATCAGGTCACCTCAGGGCAGTTCTGAATCTTATAGTTTTCAGGCCATGGAAAAGACCGACATCGAGCAGAAGATGTCGTTTCGTTTCCTAACGTAAAAGGAATACTACGACAGCCATGGCTAATCAGAGTGTAAAAAATCGATATCACTTATTATTGATTGATTTATTGATTTAAATGAAGCGTTCCTGATATGAATCCTGAGGTAGTGTTTCTTGACGTATCTTGATACACATGGTATTCTCACAAAATTCGCCTGATACATTTTGAATATGAGATCGTCTTGAGCGGAAAAGACAAATGGGAAGTTTTAACAGTCGTCTTCATTAATATTGCTTGACTTTGGCTTTCCCAATAACGGCTCCCTTGCAGTCGACATATCTTCCCGAGGGGATCGTTCATCNTAGTAGCCACTCGTTGAGTAGCGCATCTATCAGATCAACGTAGGTTATGGCAGCTTTGAATCGAAGTGTTTCAGGCCATGGAAAAAACCGACATCGAGCAGAAGATGTCGTTTCGTTTCCTCACGTAAAAACGATCCTACTGCAGCCATGACTAATCAGAGTGTAAAAAATCGATATCACTTATTATTGATTGATTTATTGATTTAAATGAAGCGTTCCTGATATGAATCCTGAGGTAGTGTTTCTTGATGTATCTTGATTACATGTGGTATTCTCACAAAATTCGCCTGATACATTTTGAATATGAGATCGTTTTGAGCGGAAAAGACAAATGGGAAGTTTTAACAGTCGTCTTCATTAATATTGCTTGACTTTGGCTTTCCCAATAACGGCTCCCTTGCAGTCGGCATATCTTCCCGAGGGGATCGTTCATCATTTGGTTGAGTGCTGTCCAGTTGTTTTGGAGTTGCAGTGGAATCGTTGCAAGCATTGTGAGTAGGTGTTGGCGGTTGATTTTGGTCCGGATTAGCCGCGACGGCCGGAGTCGTGCCAAAGATTCTATAGGGCAGGTAGGAATCGATCTGAAAACGATTTTGTAAGGTTATGGTGAGTTTTGGGAAGGTCAGGTTACTGTTTTTTAAATAGGTTGTATAACTAATACGAGGACGTCCCTTGACATTCAAGATGGAACGTGACTGTGCGCGCGTAAAATCAATAATTATGTCGCAGTAAATTATAGTCTTCGAATGGACCTAGTAAGATACTAAAATGCTCGGAACCTGTAATTTAACCCACTCCCGTTCCTCATAGTAACATATTCTACAGTGCTATGCATTCGTTCACATAGACCCTAACTCGGAACCCAGAAGCACCATACCCCTGGGTTGACTGCCTGTCTATATGGCGTTTGATAAGAGCGTCGTGGGTAAGGGTGACAAATCTCACATCTTTAACGGGCTCTCAATCTAATGTCTCGGTCTGCTGAAAAGTGAAAGAGAAGATAAACTTCATCATACCGTCTGTTTGACTTCTGGAAATGCTGCCGGATTCGTTATACATTCTCGAACGTTCACCAGAACTTGCTGAAAAATCGAGGAGCTCAATATTAATGACTCCTATTTGATTACTTATCAATTGAAGAGTACGTTCAGTAGTGGACCAGAGCTTCCAAGTCGTGTGATTATTGCAGCAACTCCTTCTAAAGGTNAGTAGCAAACACTTAGGATATCGACGTACCTTCGGGTTCAGGGGGTTGTTTTTCGGGTTTTAGCTTCAACGCTGCATGAGTCTCGACAAACACGTACCTGACACCGTTCTGAAATCGAATCCTTGAATTTTCATTTCTTTACTTTCTTCGAGCCGATCAATACATTGTACATGTACTGGCGTCGGAGAAAGAGGAAGAATCACTTCGAATCGGTAACCCACACGGTTGCTCCATCATCGACTCACCATTTGCTTAGCTGAACACTCCAGATATCGCATCGCATGCAATGAGCTCTTTAATTTTTCTCCCAGTTCGGGATCGAAAGACTGAAAACAAGATATGGATAGAGCACGATGTCCAGAGCACGAATTGCTCTGCTTGATATTCAACAAGTCGAAACTAACCTTTCTTAAGTCACATTTAGTACGGACGAGAAATAGTGGCACGTGAGAGAAGTAGAGGTTAATTTTGGAATACCACTAAAGTGAAAGCTTATTTATAAACAGTGATTTGTAGAAAGCAAAGTTGCATCAAATGAATACGCTTTATTTTACACGAACAATTCAGTTACCTATAGAAAAAGGAGAAATTATACTCAAATTGAAACGCTCTTCTTATCCAAAAGATGCGCCATAGATATAGCCACTCAGTAGAAGGAACTCATCTCCATGGATTTGTTCAGGGAACAGCAAGTTGGATATGAATTCACTGGTAGAATAGTTGACGAGGAGAAGAGGTTTCTCTTCAATTTGGCTCCCCATTTTAAGATTAACAGAGTCGAATGAGGTGAGTCTCCCAGATCAGGCAAGACCATCTAAAGAGACATGCGAGCGATATAGGGAACAAAAAGATTTCAGCCTAGAAAGCGCTGCCGGGATCTGTGCTCCTAAAATGCATGATAGTGCTGCGTGCAAGTCTAGAAGCTCCACATATATGAAAAACAATATCACAAAGAAAAATTGGTGTGTTCTCGAAGTTGTACATGGAATTTGAAAAAAAGCGTTAATGTTTGTCTCTCTTGATTTGCAGGGCTTTCTGCGTTATGTGATTTAGTCAATAAACCAGGAATGACGAGGATTACTGCTAAAAATGCTATATGAACCAACTTCCATAGTGGGCGTTTGAACATAACCACAATGAACTAATTATTGGCTATTGTTTACCCCACACTTACCACAAATTTACACTTTGAGTTACTACCGATCTATGAGAGAGCGATGTCCACTGCACCACTTTCCTTGCAGTGTCAAAATTCGTCAACTTGACCCACGTATTCTTTGAGTCTTTTCAAAGCCCATGGCGATTCGTCGTCGAATAGAAGCAGAATGGCTTGGGCATTGGCAGCATCAGGTGGCAATAATCGACCAATATGGAGTTCAACCATCTGAAAAGTTATGTAAGAGTGTTCGGTCGGTACTAGGCTGTTGTACTCTTTGAGCTTTTTTGTTTTCCTTTTGGCATTAGATTACTAAAGGGAGTTCCTGAAGGAGGCGCAGACGAGTACATGGCTCATTAAAAGCTCGAAGTATCACAGGTCTCTCTGAGCAAGACATCAAACAGATACAGTGCTCGAAGATCAGCAATGCCCTGATCGGGCATTATAAAGTGGGAAAGTTAAGTGATTCCAACAACCCAGCATCCATTGGGAGCAACCGGGTATTTCCGATCGACCACGCAACACCAGGTTGCTCCCATTTGATGCTAGGAACTGTTAACAGCTTATAAGAAGCTGCATAAGACAAAAGCCATCAAGTCGATTGTGCACTTCGCATTGATAGTGTTGATAGTGGAAGCTTGACACCACGGGCTAAGATTCGTCAGGATCGTAACCGGTTGGTGACAAGGACAATAGCTACTGTTAAGGGCTAGTAATTGCTACTGGATTACTTCCTCTTTTTAAAAGGCAACAGAGGGGAGACGGGCAGTAGGAACAGTTTTGTGTAATCCTAATCATTTGCCTCTTTATACCAGTTCTACCGTTCTTCATACACCTCAATCGCTATGCGATTATTACTTGTGGCATGATTCTATTGTTACTTCTTTTGCTCCTGTATTTCTTACTTGCCGCTGCATTCTGCCGCATTCCTTCGCGCGCGACGTCTCTCGCCGCGATGCGACAATTTCGATACTACTGCACCACACCCACAACAGAGTATTGCTATTTCATTGTGCGGTATATGGTATAAGCAGATCGAGGACACAAACCTGATCGCAGCCCATGAAATAAGCAATACGTAAGTAAGTAAAAGTCCCGTGATTCATTACCTGAAACAGCGTTCGTCGATCCTGAATGTAGTGCATTTTGCAGACCATGTCGTCTGTTTCCTGGACGTTCTCTGTGAAGTAATCATCTCGAAATGCATGAATCAATGACGTTTTGCCCACACCTAAAATGTGTTCGTCGACGAATGTTTAATTAGAAGCATGTCATTGAAGATGGAAAACAGATATCAATCAGGCTAATAGAGCACAGATCGGCATTCATATGATATAGCAGGTTTCGGAGACAGGCAAATTTCTTCCTTTGGTGGTATGAGGCCCTGGACTCAACCTCAATAATATGCCGCAAAAATGTTTTTGAAGTTGCTGCATTCCAAAGTTTTCTGGAAACTCTAGTACTGGAAGCTGGTCAGAGAAATTACTCTCATGAGCTTGAAAAAGGGGTAGAAGAAGAAGAAGAGTTGGGTAAAATATTCTCAGTGAAGTATCGAATAAGTTCTAGATAAGGCACCACTTTGTAATAAACACAAAGTTCCTGTCAGATGTGCGAATAAGAGCGTCTTATGTCGCCTCAAATGCAAGGTTCTCGAGAGGGCCACGTATTCTGATCCTAATTCATAGCAGGCGGCACCGTATAAGTAGTAGAGAGCCGTCAGATATTGTTAGCATTGTCTGATATCATGGTGCTGATGTGTGTCCTGTCAGTAGGTGCTGATATCCGCCTTATGATTCATTATTTATGTTCCTTTACCCGAAGGAGCCCCAATACGGCAGCATTGGATAGAACCGCTCCGTGGAAGCTGCCAAAAGCTTAGGAACATAAAAGACTACCGGAGAACTGGCTCGTGACAGGGACGAAATGAGACATACTGACGCCCGCTCAAGGAATCAGTGATAATCGGGACAAAAGGTGATACAGGTTATAGGTTATGTAAGGTGAAGTATAATATGTTCCTAACTCAACTATTTACAAACCCGCAGAAGAGAAATTAGTAGTGCTTGTTCGCTCAATCACGCAAAAACTTGATATACATCGGCATGGATTGATTGAAATCACAGGAATGGGTACGCCTTCGTAATGATATATGCTTATAAGCGTTATCAATAGCAGCAGTAGTTAAAGTTCCTTCTCACTTATCATAGATCGGTAACGTCGGTTAGTGGGGATGGACTGCTAGCTTGTTGTGGTTTTACTCCATAGCTCATGCGTTTCTTGTAGTGTTTCCTCACTTATTCCTTTCGCAGACGTGATAAACGTGTAACTACTATATCTGTTTGATGTGGATTTTTCATATCACAACCTTTATCATACTCACGAAGCTCACGTACAGACCAACATATCAATAAACCTACACGATCGACTAACTGCTTTATGAAAAAGAAGGCTTCTGATGATTAATAAGGGCTTAGCTGATGATTGCCCCAGCAGTGCTATGAAAATAGGCGCTTATGTACATATTCCACGGCAATGAGAAGGATAAATCGAATGCTTTCGACAATGGAATGATCGGGTGTGATAGTACACTGAAGCCTTAACGGAAAACAGATGCATTAACTCCTTACCCAGTGGCGATGCGTTTCCACAAGCACCATCTCAGAAAACGGTTAGACATATGCCTTAGTATGCAGCACAAACTCAAGGGATTGAGCGGAAACGAGTTTGTGAAGCACGGCAAAGTCTGATAGAACTGAACAATTACAGATATTGATGGGAACAAGGTGTGTAAACGTCCCATATTGATCAGGGAGTTTTTCTAATCTCGTGTGTACTGCATATACTGCGAAATCCAAGAAAATGTAGAAAATGGGCGCCATAACATGCATCGTTATCGTTCCCAGGAGAAAGAAACGAGCATGTTGAATCTGAATAGAAGAAGTGGGAACATCATCATAACGGAAAAGATGGCCTCCGATTAAAGTTGTGAATTCCTAAGTACCTCGAAAATCGGTAAACAAAGAGCCTCAGGGTCACTCACGTTTGTCACCGCAGATGAGAATTTTAAGTCGACTGATTTGAAGGCAAGCCGTATAGGGCTGCATCCGCGGAGGCCAAACAGCCACCGATCGGCCACCCTGACGAGGAGCTAGTGAATGAACTATCTTTGAACAGATTATTTGCAATTAGATAACCGGCAATCGCTATCCAGCAGGGATACTATTATCACTCCAATAGGAATTAGGAAGAGATCGATAAGTATCTAACACATGTATAATTTAACTTCTATTAAAACAATTATTAACATTCGTGAAAATGGAAACTAATTTTGCAGAAAAAATATGAGATAATCAAAGCCATGTCATCAGGAAGGGCATCCTGGAGAGGTTGATGAGTAGTTGATAGCACTGGCTAAAATTAATGAAACCCCTAATATAGAAAAGCGGAAGCTTTGAAGGCACATTTCACAGAAAAAAACATGCCCCTAGGCTAGCCTATTAACAGGACAATGCTTTTATACTCCCACGCGGGTAATACGCCCAATGGCCATCAACACGGGATGGACGACGGTTCAGCCTAGGTGATGTTAATCGAGGATTCGAACCCCGGACCATAGTGTGATGCTGACGCTTTCAACATTTCACTAGCACTACTCTTATCGTTACATATCTCCGGGTTATCCTCACTTATGGGCAGACTCATGAAACATTAGCTAGTCAACTCGAAGCGCTTCCTAATCTTACGATTGCAATAAATGTATGGTTTCTCCGACGCTTTTTAATTAGTAGCAACCGCTACATGAGGGAAATGATCGTCTCTGCAACCATTTATCTATTGTTTTTATGCTTATCTGGCTCTAAGAATATTCTAGAGCTACTTTTGAAAAATGACCTTCAGAGGCTCGGCCTCGTGTCTTAGGGGCGCAGTTCACGAGAAAAATGGTTTCTGAGATTTCCCTACAGGATGAGTTCGAGGTCCTCTCGTATACTATATCTGGCACGGTTAGGGTTGGAAACGGTCTAGATAGGGAGCTATGAAGGCTCAAAGTCAGCACCGTGTGGAATTTTCGAAATCTCTGCCGAAATCTCGTCCGAATACCCCTTCCATGTTATATCCGCCATGGTAATCACGTCGTACCTCTATTTTCCTTTTGAGGAGGCATATGAACAAGCTGTCAGTGTTTTTGTAATATAAGTTTATTATTTTTTTACACATTTGACCATGCTACTCATTTGATTACGAACTAGGAGACGAGGATGTTGTCAACACTGTTGTTGTTCTAGCACGCTCTTCTTTCAAGACGACCGTCTCCGATCTCGCGAACCTGAAATTAAAGGACATCAGCCCACGTTATGATTCATTACAGAATTTTCTTTTTTCAAGAAATCAGAAGAATCGAAAACATGGCGATATTTACATAAACAAGCACTAAGGTCACTGAGGATGGCGAATCGAACAGTTGCTCTTATGTTACCGTACACAAGCATTTTTTCCTCCGTGCGTAGAGTAGTTTACATTTGAGTACTATAGCACAGTTCAAAAACTACCCTTCATTTTTTTAAATAGTCATTGTCACGGAATTCTCTAGGCTTCAATAGATAGGTCATACACCTCTCAACCAATCGAATAGACCAACTTCTGGCATACCCATAGGATTCAACTTGAAAGAGCTACAGAGGCGTCGACACTACCAAGAGATAGTAAAGAGATGGGAGGTTTTTCAATGGTTTTATGGGTTTACAACGAAGCCTGTGACTGTTGAAGCCCTAGATCGTCCATCTGGGTGCCAGGTTTTTCTAGAATTACGAAAGCGTAAAGGATTCATCAGCTTCCCCTATGATGTTCCTCACCGGCCATTACTTCTTATTATCTGTCCCTATCATCGATTATCTGCGATTCCATCATATCCTAGTACACCCAGCGATCACAGTGTAAAGGCTCCTACGTTATTGTCCCTATCAGATCTGATCACTTACTGTCATCAGTGTTCCACCTTTGAAAGCACTAGATAAACGGGCAATAAAGTTATGAATCCACACAGGAACACACAAACCCGCAGGCACCGAATTATATGAAGGACATTTTGGCATCTAATCACCAATTCGATTCTGATGAATGCCCTTATTTCTGGCATGAATTCATAGTTCCTACACATGAATAATTGGAATCCACTGGTGTAATGTGATGAGTGCCCTTCTATTGAACTTACTGAAGGAAGATCTCGGTTTTTTCCATATTCCATTGACTTATCATGTGTTGGTAAACGAAAAAAAACTAGATTCTGCTCTGATTTGTCTCTTTGCAAGATTTAGTGAAAGGATAATCAAAAAACGGTTTGAGGAAACAAAAAATCTTGCCTGTACTCGAACTCCATTGACCCGGAAGTGACATTCAGACCATTCCGATGACGCTTCTTCCTGGAAAAGCATAGTGAGGGAATAATTCAAATCAGAATTGGATACACTTTTTTCTAGGAATCACAAATTGAGGACATACCTTAACAGGTGATGGTAGAATTTCCACTTTTTCACGCTTTTTACTGGTTTTTCTCTTGCTTTCAGCACATCCATTCTCAATCATTACGAATCCTGGAGGGGTGTCCACAATTGAGTCTTGAGATTTGGACACAGCTTCTTTGTACAGTAGGCAGAGTTCTTTCGTTGAATCAAATACTCCAGTCTGAAAGTCAGACCAAACCAATTAAGCAGTGCTTCGTAGGAATTTGCTTTTTTAAAAAATTATTGCTCAGCATATTAGCAAGGCAATAATAAAAGCTTCTAGAGCCTTTTTTTTGCAAAGAAAGTTCATGAACGGCTCTCTTCGTACTAAAAAATTGCTCTAGAGGTATTTTCGTAGGCGAAAGTATCGTTGTTTACAAACCTTGCAGGAATTGTTGTCAAGGCAAGCTTTTAAGCACTTGGAGATGCTTTGCGACGGTGTCTGTGACATTGGGACAGTAGTCAAACTTCGCTGCACGTGAAGTATAAACACTTCATCTTCTTGGCAGGTCTGACGCGACTCTGAAAGAGTACAGGTTAATAACTTTTTTTCGAGACTTCACATGAAGTTCGAAAAATCACTTCCTCCACCTCTTATAACTGCCAATACTTTAAGGCATCCTGGTTACTTATTGAATACCCTTTACTACTCAGCTTGATCGATTTGAATCAATTAATATCGTCAGTAAGTTTTTGATTAGTGAACCCCTTGTAATTGGACTGTCATTCAAAACAGTTCTTAAAAAAGAAACTTCTCGAACCGAGGCTGTCCTTGAGGGGAATGTGAATGTTCTAACCTGGCAAGCAGAATTTCTCTGCATATATCACGTCCTGGTTCTCCACAAGGTTTCCAGGACCATGAGGTTCAGCAACTATGCTGTATAATTCGCATTTTCTTGTGAGTGGGAAGTAGTTCAGTGAGCTGCATACCAACAGTTCTTTATCTGGTCCCTGAAAAACTGAAAGCGATTAGTACCACTAAACCTTGATCCAGTCAGATTTCTCTATTACACTTAATTTCAAGCCTCTGTTGCATAAAATCTCCATGAGCTACACCAGTCATGTAGCTTTCATATAAGGGAAGCTGATTAATATCTTTGTTCACAATATAAACAAACTACTGATTATTCTGATTATTTTATAGAAGCGGCAAACAAAAATTAGACCGTTTACTATAGTGGGTAGCAAGCTGACATCAAAGTTCCGAAGAAACAAGTTACGCATAAGTGATGCGCAAAATTTGCACTGATGGAGGTAGATTCACGACCTCATACCTACCCAAGCCGCTGAAGCCGCCCATATCTTCGAGGTCAGTAAATTTTATAGAAGCGGTGCTTTGTTTATCTGTTAGCTTCGCAGTTCATTATAAAAGGAAAGTCGTTGTAAACATCGCCCCGAATACTACCGCCATGCGTGGGAGCATCCCCGAACAGAACTAGTCAACCGCATTTCTTTACTCTTTGAGCTGTGGGCAATGATCGAAGATATGTGTCAATCAGTTCCTTTGTCGCGAATGATTCTCCGTATGATATAAAACCAATTAACGTGAATTGAAAGCTGCGCTCCGCTCAGTGATGAATTTGAACTCTATGGTATGGGCGTACCTGATTACTGCTACAGAACTTCGCACAGTCTCCTTGATCGACTTCGTTGAATACCTGAATCAGTTCCCTATGAACTTCTGGTAATGCTCACTTGTCAACTTACTATCCTACCCTAACTCAACTATGGAAAAAAATTTCGTCAATTTTTTAGAAACTGAGGAAGTCAGGAAACTAACTTACCTTCACTGTTCCTCCATTAGCTATTGGTCGAACGATTTCATTTCCAATCACTACATAGTAACCAGTGCTTGTCAAACATGGTTCTTAAACAAGTTATCCATTCTACTATGCATGATCGAATGTTCAACTGCAGCGACATCCTTAGCGGCACAAACCTTTCGGAGGTTCTAGAATTTCGTTCTCTTCCGATTTTGAGCTCTGGTCTTTCTTCTGAAGCGCTCTCATTTTTTCAGCTGTGTCAGATCCAGAATTTCTATAACATCAGGGATTAAATTGACCTACCATAGAAACGTCACAAGAGACACCCAAAGCCTAACTAACCAAACAAAAAGTTAGATTTCGTGGGCCTTACCAACTTTTACCTGCTTCGTTGACTTTAAGCGCCTCAAATCCTAGGTTGCCTCACTTTATGAGCGTCATTGTAGGGCTTAGCAATGGAGAATTAGCTTTATAAAGGATGAAGGATAAAGCCTTTGGCTTCAATCAATCTGAGGGATGCACATTGAAAACGACTTTCATTGAAAATCGTGGTGGCGTTTTGAATGCGTATTTAGCCTATACAAACAGCCATGGCCAGCCGATGCCCGAGTCAGTAAATGTATCCTCCCAGGCGAGTCTGGAACCATCTGGCCGACATCGGAGTGATGGAAGGCTTCGATGGCTTGGGCGAACCGATCAGGCTTGCCACTATATTACCTCAGCCTGATTAACTTCTGTAGATCCCCAAAACCACGTTAAACTCATTTCGAGTAGGTTGGAAGCGTGGCAGTAAGTTTTTGCTATGTTTCTCGCCTAAGAAAAGTTGTTTTTAACATATTTTGACTTCCCATCCCCTTTCCATTCTAATCGAAGTAGTGTAGGACAACGTCTTAGTACTTCCTTATCTGTATGTATTCATATGACAAATTTCCAGGTCATCAAATTCATGAATGGGCTTTCTGTCAAGATATGAAGCTTTAGAAATCATGAGTAAAGTAATAGCTCACTCCACAGGACCCCAAAATCGCTGAACGCTTCATAGCTTGAGCCCCTGAACTTTGTAGTACATCCAACACAAATCTCATACATATAAATTACAGAAAACCCACATTCCATTTGGAATTTCTGCGTCTCGCATTGTCTCATCTTCGCTTTCTATTTCTGAAGGTAGCCTCACATTCTGTAAATGAGCACATAAGAATTTTCACCTAAAAGCTCAATTTCAGACTTTCTCTACCTTTTGCAATTCATCTTGCTCCCTTGAGAACGATCCAAATTTGGCAAAATTGAACCTGTTTTCGTTTATGTTTGAATCTGAAAAACAAAATGTCCCCAGGTCCTCGCCGGTATTGTTGCTGAGTAATTTGAAGGTTCTACACGAATTTTGTGAAGCCATTCTATTCCTTGATTTCTTGAGAATTCTCATCTTCAGAAACTTCTCGCTCACGCTTTCAATATTTCGGAGAAAATAATTCCAGATAACTCGTTGAAGGATCAGCACAACCATCACCGAAGACAGCTTTACTTACAAGGGAAGTCCCACTATTCTCAAATTCCGACTTTGTCTTTTTGATGGCCCAAATCTACACTCCGAATTCACGAAACGATTCCGGCAACCAACTTACGAATGCATTTGATCCCAGTGATGTGCCTCTGACACTGAGGATTGATTTTCTAAAGAGGAATTACTCATTTCTACTCTAATAAAATCCCTATCGAGACCGGGAAAGGGCTGTACAACACCTCTTGGAAGACCGTCTCCGAATTTTGGACGAACCATCTTGCAAGACTTTCCCAATCATTTTATGGGAGAACAAAATTGATAGACTAAGGTTGCAAAACTTAATGTCACACCTATGAGTCCACCTCTTCCTTTCGCACCATGGCTTCAAAAATGAAACAGTCACTCAACGTGCTCAGACATCCGATTACTTTACGTATTCGTAATTTTATGGCCAGAATCGAAAGACTCTTGAAAGAGCGAGGATGATTCCAGATGAAAACTAACTCTGACAGGGTCTCTCAATATTGATCCTTTTATAGAAGTCAATACCAATTGCAGGATGTAGAATAGCCGGGATCTGAAGTGGTATTACAGCAATAATTTCTAGCACCTCTTGTAATCGAAAGCTAGACAATCAAAATCTTCATAAATCCAGTGAAACTACCTTCATTCCATCGTGGTCATAGAGGCGACAAGTTTTCAATGCATGATCATAAGTGAAGGATCGACACAGAGGTTCCTAAAGTCCCATTTTTTGATGCTTCCATATTTTCAGGCAACCTCTGGGCACACCTTCCGTCTTCCGTTACCAGCAGCCATGATGCAATAGTCCGCACATGCACGCACCGATTCCCTTTGATACTCGGCCAACGGCGTATAGTTGTCGATAGATCGTCTTGTTATCAGTTTGAAGCATGGCGTATCTAGAATTAGTATAGGTTGGAGTATGAATAGTTGTGAAACTGTTAATTTTCTTTTTTATGCTTTAATATTTTTGATGCATGCTCAGAAGACGGCCTACTTACCTATTTTTCATTACTTTTTGCCAATCTCATCGCTCCCATGTTTACTTTCTCAAACGGTACCATATTGTGGTGTGAAGGCATCTGATATCGAATTCCACTAGACTTACGCCGCGAGACCACTATCAAAGATTCGCCGCAGTCGCGCACGCACGCGGCACATCTATGATAGTGGTCTCGCGGCGTCCAACTGCAATGACCATAGTCACTGAATCAACCATTCTAATATTACTCGCAGTTGCTTCCTCTAGCCACCCGTCCATATCTGCTAGACGCCTTTGATAATGCACCCTCGGGACTCAGTTCAGGTACAAATTCAAGCATCCCTATATTGTGTTAAAACACCAGTCAGCCTTCGCTTGATTACAGATACAAAAATTAAAAGAAAGTAGAATTATCATGCTAAAGAAATAGGACATGCTGTCAGGCGCGGAAGAATGTACGTCCAAGCAAATGAGTAAAATGAGTGTATGGAAAAGAAGCGAATGAATCGAGAGGAGTAGGAAAACTGTTGAAAGGAAAGAAATATGGTGGGGCAGAGGAAGTTTCAGAGGTGAAATACGACAATTCCAGGTAAAATAGAAAAAAACCTATGAAGAACAAAATCTAATGAGAATAATGAAGAGCCATAATCATGTAAGCGACCCGGAAAATGTAAGATTGTACGAAGGGTACGGGTGAAGTGTAAAGAGTCAAAGAGGGGAACGGTAGACTAAATTTCCATTCACACCTCGCCCAAAAAAATTCAAATGTAAAAAGACGTATTATTTGACTACCCTTGTGACGCACATCGGATATAAATCTAGTATATATAATCCACCACTGGCAGGGGTGGTGTAGCGGCAAATGGCGCACTACCTCACACGCTCGGTCAAGGATTTGAAATGCGGATCCATATCCGCCTAGGCCAAGCATGCCTTCCATCCCTCCAGGTTTGGTTAATTGGCACTAGACTCGTCTGGGAGGATAGAAGCACGGACTTGTACATCGGTTTGCCACCGCAATAAATTGTGTAGGCCACATGCGCGTCCAAAACGCCACTGTGATTTGAATGGAATTGGGATGGTATGCGCATCCCTCAAGCGATAATTAGCGCTCCTTTTAACTCTTTCATAATGTACCAGTTAGTCATCCGTTCATTCTTGTAGTATTCTCACGGTAACATTAAATTCAAGGAATTGCACGAATGTGGGGTCAAGTTATAAG